TTAACTTGCAAAACAGTTTTATTTCACACTTATACAAAGGTAAGACATTTTAAAACACTTGCAGTACAACAGATTACATCTACAGCCACCACGTTAACAGGGGACTTCTCAGGCCTCTGGAGCTTTACAGTATTTGAAAGTTTTGAAGCTGATTGTCTATAAAGGATAAACCCTCCTGCAGAACAACATAATCAGATAGCAGGCTGTGTGTCACTGCTCTAGATTTCAGAAGGAAATGTGGCTCTCCAGTAAGTCCTCCAATTGACAGTATATGACAGAAATACTGAAGAAAATGAAGGTACTCCTAAAAAAAACCACCTCAAAACCTGTGATATGTGAAATGGATTTGGACTGCATGAATTTAAATATATTCAGTGCTCCACAGATGTCCATGGTGAGCTCCTTTTTCACTTCAGATGCAAATCCTCTCTGCAGTGTAACGTCAACAAGACAAAATTTACTCTAGTGCATCATGGAACTGAACTTTTTAGGTACCTGAAATCCTGGAATAACAGCAGCTCTGTGATGTCTGGGGAGTAAGAACAATGGCACAAGGTGTTGCCTGGTTATAAACAATAAACTTTGGTCACCCAAGCAGGTTACATTCAAATTTCATTTTGGTTTCAGGTGATCAGATAAACACAAGAACATCTATTGATGGCATAGAGCTCCAAAGGAAGAACCAAATCTACATTTGCTTTCCATTAAATCCAAAACCAACTTGCCACAGGAAAACAGTGTTTCATAGAGAAATACAGACAAATATACAATTAATTTTAGAGTCTTTCATGGAAATAAACAACAGGAGAAAAATACCAAAAGATAACCTAAAAATCCTTGAAAGGAATAAAAAATACTGTGCTTGTCCCTTCAATCAGTAGCCTCAGGGAAGGCAAAGTAGCCTTTCCCAGCAGCAGTGGGCATCTTCACATCTAAAGTGAAGTATCTTTTAGTTAAATAGTAAACCACAGTGGTTTTTATCCAAAATGGCAATCAGGTAAGTTGTTATGGTAGAGGGGAAGGGACCCTGCCTTGCAGTATCTTCCCTGACTTCTGCAGTATCTCATTTGGCAGTCTTGGGTACTGCAGCCCTCCTTCCCCAATTATCTTTGTTGAAAAAGAGAAATAATCCAAAAAAATCTGCCCTTTCAGACTTCATTCACATGGCAGAAAACATGCAGGAGGCACAAGCCCAGTTTTTAAACCTTTTCCAGGTTATCTTTTGGACCAGCTGTATAGCAAGGCAACAAATATTAGTATAAGCTAGTTTTCTTCATAATTCTCAAAAATTCTTGTTCACTTACTTCTCCATCTCCATCTCGATCAGCTTCATCAATCATTTCCTACAAAACACAGTGTACATTTGATCAGGTACTGGACTCTAAACACAAGATATTCCACTCATTAAAACAACAATAAATCAGAGGCACTTCATGTGAAAACAACTATTTATTTGACTGCATTTTGTATTTCTGACCTCTCAGCCCTTTTGGTATAGGACTAAATTCCCACCCAATCCTTAGGAGCTACAGGAACAGTCTGTGCCTGTTAGAAAAGCTTTAGAAAATCAGAATTTACCTGAAGTTCTTCATCTGTTAAATTTTCTCCCAGCTCCTTGGCAACCCTTTTCAAGTTTTTGAATGAAATTTTTCCTGTGCCATCATCATCAAATAATCGGAAAGCTTTCAGGATTTCTTCTTTTGAATCCTTTTCACTCTAAACCAAGAGTAAAGCATATGTTAATCAGAAAACCCCTGACACCGAGATGCTCCTCTTCCTTATGCTGCCACAAGAATTTCTGCTAAGAATTCCTACCATTTTTTGTGTCATCATAGCCAAAAAGTCCTCAAAGTTGATGGTGCCACTCCCTTCCTTGTCGATGTCTGCTATCATCTTCTTAATCTCTTCCTTCTTTGGCTCAAAGCCTAAGGCACGCATTGCAACCTGTGCCAAAATACCAAAACCAATTCTGTTAGGAGGCCACCAGAATTTTGGTGTAAGAGCTGAGCCTGTTTCATTTCCCTGTCCAGAACTCTTAAGTCACAACTCACTGCCATGGAAACACCCTGGTTCCTCTACCATCTTCTTTCATCTTGCTGAACAATATTAGTGTTGGTTTAATTTTCTTACAGTGTTGTTTTTCATATATGTTAGTGGAAATCCATAGTTTTTATCAGGCAGAGGTAGCTCATGTTTTCATGTTACAGATGCAGAAATTGAGCAGAGTGTATGTGAGAAATCAAGGTAAAGGAGATAATTAAAGTGTTCATGCTTACATAAAAAGCAAACATAAAATCACAGGGAGACAACTGAGAATCATCTTCCCCCTTGTACTACACAAGTGCACACACACTGCCTAACTTGTTACTGCAACACAACTCAGATCTCTGTTTTGTTCTTTTTTAAATTAAAAACCAGGTAATTTTTGAATTACATATGCACAAATATGGTTGTAACTTTCCTGAATATGTGCAAAATCTGTGTTTAGTTCTCAGGTGAAGAAAATATTTGATACTCTGATACTCATCCCAGAACAAAAGTCCACTTCCCAGGAACAAGCACCTTAGTCATGAAACCTGAAACTGTTTAGTTTCTCTAATGCTCAGCTATTCAAAGCTGTCAGATGTAAATAGCAACATAACAGAGAAGCCTGTCTGCTTCATGCATTACATGCAGAGTGCACCCCAAATCCAGTCATGACAGCAAGCCATTGCTCTTCTTTGTACTCCAAAACTGTTTTAAAATAGGGTTGGACAACAGAAAAAGCAACTACAATTTTAAGATCAAAGATTTTTTCACCTCAGAGGAAAAAGAAAAAAAGTTTGAAAACCTTCAGTTCTTTGATGTCGATGCTTCCAGACCCATCAGTGTCAAACAAATCAAAAGCTTCTCTGATCTCCTGCTTTTGCTCTTCTGTAAGTTCAGGTTTCAAGCCACTTTTCTTCCGCTGGGCTGTACCTAAGCCAGGTTTCTTGTAGTTGGATGCCTTCAGAAAGTGAAGGGAGAGAACAGATAAGAAATAGCACATTCCTGGGAGAATTTAAAATACACAGTATTTTATACTGTAATTATAATTGTGTAATTATATATAATTATATATATAATTATGTAATTATATAATTATAGAATTGTATTATAAAAATACAGTAATTATAAATGACAACAGTAACACTGTAGAGGCGAGAAGCGTTCCTTGCTGCAAGTGGTAGACATTGAGTCTCTATGTAAATTTCCTTCGGTTATTGTAGAAAGAAAAAAAGAGGTTTTGTTCCTGGGGAGTGTGGATTTGGGCTTCCTGTTTTCTGTTTTAAACTGAAAGATTATCAATTCAAGGAACAATGCCAAAAAAACAGATAGGCAGCCTGAAAATGAGCACTCCACTGAGGTGACCATGACCCTCTGCACCTCCTGCCAGTTGCCTTTCCTGCAGGTTTATGTGAAAAATATGCACATAAGCATCCTCACAGCTAAAGAGGGTTGTTGCTTATGGTTTTGGCTGCAAATGAGACTCAAAATCAGCCACTCCTGTGGGAGAAAAGTTTAAAGGGACCTGTGTGGCACCAGGCTGCCTGTCCTTTGAGTAGTTGTGGAGCCAGGCAGCAACATCCAGTGGGAGCAGTGAGATCAGCACACAATCTGTCCCGTAAGGACGGCTAATCTGCTTGTGCTGAGCTGGTGCATCATTATCCAGGACACTTCCAGACCTTTCCTGCCTCTGGTGTAAGCCAGTGCAGGCTTAGATGTCCCACCGTCCATACAACAGGGAAAAGTATAGTTTTGTTTTTAAATAAGCAGCAGATAGATTTTCGTCCTGCAGCCTTGAACCTGTACAGAATCGTGGAAGGAAAGGCAGTCCCTCCCACCCGCAGCTCCAAGTGGCTAAGCACAAAGCAAGGAATTTGTTACCTAGCTACTGACCAGCGTCTTGCCTCTGCTGAATTGGTAACATGTTTAGGGCTGGGATCTCTCTTGTAACTTAGAAGATTCCGTTTTCTTCTATTTGTTAATGAGATTTCGTTTTTCAGTGTGACTTATCCCTCCCAGACTGGACTGCAAAGCCAGTTGTCTGGCTCACCCCTGACTTCCCTCTGCTATTAACACACGTATCAGACTTTTCTTCTTTATATGCTGCTCTGGGAAGAAGACACACGAGACCTTTTCCCTGGCTACCTTTTCCTTCCATTTATTTCACATCTGAGTTGTGCAAATCCCTTTCAGGTTCCACCTCCGGGCCTGGCCGGCGGCTGCGGGGGCCCGAACGATGCGGAGGTCTGTGAGCCGTGCCAAGAAGAACCAGGCACGCCGAGAGCAGGCGACGCATTTTGCGAATCCCGGTAGTTTTCCAGGCGTGTTTTTCCCCTTGGAGTGGGGGACCTCTCCGGGATGTGCTGTGTGAGGTAACCGGGCAGCAACGACGGCCTGGGCAGGGGTGGAACCTGAGGGGGTTTGCAGAACGCCCGGTGTCGGCGGGAGGGGGCGGAGGGAAGGGAGCCCGCGCTGGGGAGGGCGCGCTCACCATCCGGCCGGGAACGCCGCTCCGGGCTGGCAGCGCACGGGACGGGACGGGACCGGCAGCGCCGACACGCGCCGCCCAAACGGCCAATGAGCGGGCGGGGCGAGCGCGGGCAGCCGCCCCCCTCGCGGCGCCGGCCAATGACAGCGCGGCGTGCCCGTGAGGGACGGCTGGGGCAGCGCGAGAGCGGCGCCGCCCGCGGGGCCCGGGGCAGCGGCGCCGCGTCCCGGGCGGCGCCGCGTCCCGGCGGCGCCGCGTCCCGGGAAGCGCCGGGAGCGCGGCCCCTCGGTGAGACACCCGCGCCGGCCCGCCGGGCACCCCCCGCGCCGCAGGAAGCGCCGCCAATGCAGTTCCGGTGTGTCCGCTCCGCGCGGCTCCCCCCGGCCGCGTGGAGCAGGCGGGCCGGGACGCGCTTCCTCTCCCTAGCAGTACTGCGAGATAATATTCAAATAGACTTTGGCTGTGTGGGATGGGGGGGGGGGGGGGGGGGGGGGAAATGCTTTTTGGATTTGAAATTGCTAGGCAAAGGGGCCTTTAGGGAGCTGGAATAAATGATGTGAATAAATTCCGGTACCTGAAGGGAACTTATAGGAAAGATGGGGCAGGACTGTTAACAAGGGCATATAATGATGGGACAAGGGGGGATGGGTTCGAACTGGCAGACAGTCGATTTAGATTGGATATTAGGAAGAAAATCTTTATTGTGAGGGGGGTGACGGTCTGGAACAGGGTGCCCAGAGAAGCTGTGGGTGCCCCATCCCTGGAAGTGGCCAGTGCCAGGTCAGACGTGACTCTGAACAACCTGGGATAGTGGAAGACCCTGCCCATGGCAGGGGGGTTGAAACTGGACGATCTTTAAGGTCGCTTCCCACCCAGACCATTCTGTGATTCTGTGATTTGAACCTGAACATAAGAGTTACAGGAGCCAGGGTTCTCAGTTCTTGGTGTTTATGCTTCATCATTCAAAAAGGGAGCTTTATTTTAATCCACTTACTCTGCCATGGCACCATGGTGTGGAAGAGATTTTGAGGGAAACAAAATTTCTATTTGGTGTGTTAAGAATGAATAGTTGTTTGTCAAAACTTTAAAGTCTCGGCAGTTTGTAAGTTATGAATAAGTGGCATTGCTTTTATTTTGCTTAATGAAGTATTCATGCATGTTAATTGAACTACACAGAATTTGGAATAAAATAAGTTTTTCCAGACTTGTAGGTCAAAGTCAGCATGGCATGACTGTTGTTACCAAGAAGGATATGCACAGAGCTCTTGAATTTGGCATGTAAATTGTATGTTCTGCCCTAATGAACTTTTGCCCTAAGTAAGGCAAATAACTGAAATTCCAGACATCAGGGCATGAGGAGGTGGTAGTTCCACACAGCCTGTACTGCTGGAAGTGTAAGAAACCGTGGGAATTAGCAGCTCTTTACTATCAGCCAGCCAGAAACAATTCCATGGCATTTTAACAGTGCCCCATTTCAGCAACTCTGCCCCTTGATTTCTCATAATAAGTCCACAGGAAGAAAGCTTTATATGGAAGAAAGCCGTGTTCAGGGGTAGGCTGTTAAATATTTTCTTTGGTGATTAGTGCTCTGGTGTGCTGTGAGGATGGGGCAGTAATTTGTCATCTGTTCACAGATGCTGCCCACTGCCCATGGCTTTCAGGGATGTGAATGCCAGGAGACACATTGGACTCCAGCAACTCTCAGCCCTAGCATCCACTGGGAGAACATTCCTGGGGCCAATGAAATCACATAAATTCATTGTGGATGAAATCACCAACCAGAGCACATTGATTTGTTCTGCTGTTAGGCTGATTGAAAGTTTGGATTTGACAAGTGCAGTTGGACAGCTTCTTAACGAAACCATTCAGGCTCAGAACAAGGAGTTTAAGACGGGGATGAGTAGCCTGTTGTTCCTGGTTGGAGCCTGGAGCAATGCTGTGGTGGAGTGCCTGCAGCAGAATGTTCCTGTTCCAGCAATAGTGTCTGTGATGTCTGAGGGGTTGAACTCTTGCTGTGAGAGAGTCCAGTGTCTTCAAATACCAATACATGATGTAAAGAAAGAGCTGTGTTCTAGCAGAGTTAGGCCAAAGGCTTTTGAAAGCAAAACTGGACAAGTTGAACGTCATGATCTTAAAAATTCTTGGAATTTGCTGTGTTTTCAGACAGATATTTCTGCAACAGAAGAGGTAATTCCAATAAATTCTTGTTCCCACCAAGGACATGATTGTAATTTTAACAAGTTCCTGGTTTCACCCTTGGCTGGCTTTGGTTCAGTGGCTTCTGTTGTCAAGGCAGTGGGTGACAAAAGTTCACCTGCGCTGTCTGGAAGTGGTGTTACTGCAGCCAGCTGTATCGCACAGAAGTTAACCCACAGCAGGCACTTCAGCACTCTAGGGAAAAGCCCTTTTGCAAGTCAGCAAGGCAATTTCCAGGGACACCTTTCAGGACCAGCAGCAGATCTGTGTGGTTTAGGATGCTTGGCAGTGGCTCTGAGCCATGGAAACCAGACCAGCGTGAAACTGCTACAAAGCATCGCTGCTTATCAGCAGGGGAGAGCAGAGTGCAGTGGCTCTTCCCAGGTTAATATTGCAGAGATTGTGACGTGCTGTGTGCTGGGCTTGCCCGAGAGCTATTCCTGTGTCTCCCCAGGCTTTGTCACATTAGTGTCACCAGAGCAAGCCACAGTCATCAAACACTTTGCAGACAAACCCCTCCGGATTCTGCTGGTGGATGGTGACCTCACGGAGGAGTACCGACACTTAGGTTTTAACAGACCTCCTAATGTAAGGACCATATTGGAGCGTCCCACTCCACAGGGAGGCGGGGCAGGAGATGTGTGGCTGAGCAGAATGTCGGATGTACTGATGAGTTTCGAAGTAAACCTGGTTTTGGTCAAAGGAAACGTGTGCAAAAACTTCATGGAAAGGTGCATCGCCAGCAGGATATTGGTAATTGGCTGCGTGGCTCGGAGTGTGCTGTGTGCCTTCGGGTCGGCCACTGGTGCCCAGGCAGTGACATACCTGAGCCAGCTGAGCACTGTCTGTGTCGGGAACGGGGCCTGGGCGGAGCTGTGGCACACCGGAGATGGGCGCGCCGTGGATCTGGGCGAGCTGCTGCCGGCGCGGATCAGCGCGGGAGGCATCACCCTGCTCACGGCCGTGCTCACCGCTGCCCTGCCTTCCAAGGCGCAGCTCCTCGAGGACCACTTCTGGACTTTGCTGTATCGACTCCATCACGCTCTAAAGGACGGGAAGGTTTTCCCTGGGGGCGGTGCAGTGGAGCTCTTGTGCCTCAGTCACATCCAGGCGCTCGCAGAGCAGCCCGAGCGGCCGGGAAATGCCAAAGAGCTTCCCAGTCCCTGGCTGGCAGAGTGTAAATCCATTGTGCTCCAGGCACTGGCAAGTGGCTGGAAGCGATACCTCTGCGTGCTCCTGTGTAACACGGCGACGGCCAGCTCGGAGCTGGAAGCAGGTGCCGCCGTGGATCATCATCTCCAGAAAGCAGCGGCCTGTGGCTCTCCCTCAGCTTACATTTTGGAAGAGTTTAGGAGAGGTGGAGTGCTCAGGGGTGGCTCTGAACCCTTCCCTGGCCGTGTCACAGATTTAAAGGTTTGTGACAACGTTGAAGCCAAGACGGAGGCGTGGAGGAGAGCTCTGGACCTGGTGCTGCTGGTGCTTCAAACTGATGCCGAAATTATCACAGGCCCCAGAAGGAATCAGATCCTGAACTCGCCTGTATCAAACGAATTTATGTTTTTGTAGGATTTTGAGCATTTGTAAGTCCATGGGAGAAGCCCAGGTGCAACCTACATGTCTTTATAAAGCAAACAGTGAGATGTGATTGTGATTTTAGAATGTAACAACAGAAGTCAGAATGAGCAACAGTCATGAGGCAATTTCTTATTTCTAGAAATGGGAATTAAATAACAAACAAAAACCACTTGTGGGCTTATCTCTAACCCAGGCCATGTGTTTTTAGCTAACGGTATTGCCTGTATGGATGTCCCCTAATGTCTCTGAATAAAGGTGGAGATCTCTTATATTGCATTGCTGTACTTGTGTTAAATGAAAGAATATACTGTAATTATTTCTTAATTAATACCTTGTTCTTAATTTCTGTACATTGCAAACATAAGAGTTAAACTTGAAATCATGTGTGTTTTGCATTTTATTCTGAGAGAGATTGTATGACTAGAATCTATTTTTGCATATATATATGGTCCATACATATCCAATTTCCCAATATATACCCTCTGGAATTTCTCTGGTTTTGACCAATTCAGACTGAATCCTTCCTTTTGGTATTACAGACTGGATGTGTATCTACACAAAATTTTCTTTTACATTGCCAACTGGATTTTTAGATAATTTCCATGGGGTCTTTCAGCTATCCTTGCCAAGAGGAAAATATTGCTGTAAGTTTTAGGTGCTGGCTAACAACTGGTGACTGAGGCATGGCATTTTTGCTGTGTTACAGCACTGACAGTTTGAAAGCTGGGCACTGGAGAGTTGTCACTTCATTGCAAGAGAGAAGTGTGTAACTATGGAGACATTTTTTTCTGAACTTGGCATTCTGAGTCACATTGAAAGTGAAATGTCTCACCAGTCTGGTGAAAATAGAATGGAAAATGAATGGAAATGGTGATGCTTAAGAGAATCCTTGCATTCAAGAACTTTCTCATTAAAATGCTCATGGCTGGTAGCACAGATAATGAAATTCATCCACATATATGGTTTAGATACTTATTGGGAGTATCTCTGTATTATCATGTTACATCTATGACCCGAAACGAAATATTCTGGTTTTCTGTCAGATCCCAGAATTTGGTGCATTTTGGCAAAATACTATAGGGGCTTATAATTTTAATTTGGAACAGTAGTTCCTAGAAGCATAAGGATCTAATTAGATTACAGGTTTGATGATCCTGCCATTATTATTTTCATTATTACAAGGTTGGCAATTTAATGTGTAGCTGCTGGGCCGCACTCTTAATTTACCAAGATGTGAGAAAGAGTCTGGTAGATCAAAAGAGACAAAAGGAGCTGGGGGCTGTTAAGTGAGAATGAAATGGAAACACAACATATAAATAAATATAAATAGACTCTGCTGCTCTGCAAGTGTTTGCAGCTGATGTTTGACTTTACACTGTTTTTCTTGAGCCTCCTGTGCTGAGCATTGCATAACCCCTGTTCCCAGAGAAAGATCCACTTGGACTTTATTTGAATAATAGAGTGAAGTGTGTTATGGAAAATCTGCAGACAGGAATTGTATTGAGGTGGTCCAACATCTATTTATGGGACTCTTAGACACTGGGAACTGACGCACCAAATGTTGAGAAAGTCCAAAATGATGTAATTTTTCCAATCGGGCTTTTGAAAAGCACATAATGATATATTTAAATGTTGTGATGCCAAACCAGGACAAGAGGTTTGCAAAAAAGCTGTCAGATGTTACATTTTGATTAATTAATGCCTGCTTTTCTACAGGCCAATGAAATGGAACAATTTATAAACTAGGTACATCCTGTATCCTGGGTTACTTAAAATTCTGTCTTTGATATGCACAGAAGATTACCATGCGAGCTCTCCTCAAGGCGTCCTCTCCTGCAGTTTGGAATCCAGCATACCGGTGTGGCTCCTCAGCCTCAGGTCTCCTGAAACTCTCTGCACCATGGCGTGGAGATCCTGTGCCTGTGTGCCATGAAACGATTTCAACATCTGCCACAGGCGGTTTCAGCTCCTGCCAGGCTCCTCCTCTGGACACAAAGGCTGTTTGTGTAGAGCATGGTGTGATGGCAGAGCTAAGCTTTTACATGTGATGTGCTTGGGAAATTGGGAAATGGCTGAGATTTCAGGAGCTGGCACCTCTTGCTCCCCGCTGGAGCCAAGTCCCAGTCAGGTACCTTGTTTTTCCCTTGCATCTCAGTATTATCATTCCCAGCTCACTCTTTGGGGTTGATGGCATTGTATTTCATATTTCTCTTTATAAAACAAATTTTTAGGCCTCTGCACCTTGAGGATTTCCTGAAATGTAGTAGAGGTCTCCTTGCTCATAGCAACCAGACCCTCGTCCCAAGCTGAGCCAGCCTGGAGTGCACAGCCACCTGCAAACTCTGTCCCTGTGGGAGACATGGACCAGCGATCAGTGCCTGTCAGGAGGCACCTGAGAGTTTGCCTGCTACCAGGTGTGCTGAAGATGTGAGCTGGGAAATGTAGGAGCTGTGTGAGCCCACAGTGCTCCCCAAGGAGGCAACGGAGTGACTCTGGGAGCGTGAGGAGAAAACTGCTAAGACTGTTTGTTTGCACTGAACTTCTTTAGATACCCCAGAGCAGGGCTCATGGAGAGGCTGGGAGAACATTTCCCTTTTCCTTTAGAGGAGAGAGTTGGAGAGAGCAATTGAATCTAGGAGAAAAGTTATGGAGTGACAAGAGATTTTCAGCTCTGCTCACAAGGATGAAGCGACTGGCAGGCCTGAGTCATCCCATCAGTCACACTGCCAGCAAAAAAATCATTCTGAAGAATGGGAAGAATTGACCTTCCATGCAAAGCAGGTTGGCTTCCTGTAACCAACTCAGGCAGGACATCTACAGGAGCTGAACCAACACCAGGTATCAAGTGAATTTAATGTCTTATAACTGTTTGGGGGGTTTTTGTCTCTTTTTTTTTTTTTTTTTGTGTGTAATCTCTATAAAACTCCTGTGTAAACTCCCTGTTACATGAAAGTGCCAAACTCAGATGGGGCTGAGCTGCTGCTTCAAGAATGGACTTGCTGTTCTGAAACCAGCTGAATTGCCAGGGCTGCTGTGAACAACAGGCACTTCTGGGAGTAACAGAGACCCATTACAAGCCTGACCATTTGTTTTACCCAGTTTTATCCCTCTCTCTCTGTAGATCAGCAATCCTTTCAAGATAATGCCACAACAGCACAATGAGATCATAGTTTGTATGACATAATTTGGAAAAATCTAAAAATTACAAACTTAATTCTGCCACCTGCCACCAGCATTGTTGCATTAATTAACCATTTATCGCAAAGCTGCAGGGCCAAGACCTTTCTTTTCTAAGTAAGCATGAATAGATCTGCAGTCTTAAATGGCTTTTTCTTTACAGATAATGTTGCTCCAAGAACTAATGTCCACAGGGGTGATTCCAGCCCAGGTGACAGAAGAGGGAGAACAGCTCAGCAAACCAGAAACAGGTTGATACTGAATAGTGGGAGGAAAAAAAGAACACAGCACTCTGTTTTGGCTTCCTACCTGTTTATTCTGCTCATAATACCCATTTCTGTAGAGTTTTGAAAAGCACCCCAGTCATGCCTCTGCTGATTCGGATGCTGGTTTGCTGTGAGTACTGGGGTTCAGCTTCTGTCGCACTGTGTCCCTGAAAACTCTGTAGGGACAAGGGCAGTTTGGGGCACAGATGCAGAATGGAAGGAGAGAATAGTTCCCCAGTTTCTCCTTCCACATCAGGCCCTGGATGATGCCTGGGGAGTGGCTTCATGTCACATTCAATCGAAGCTGGCGTTCCCAGCAGCCATGTGTTCCCATGGTGAGAGGTGTTTGGGAGGAGTCTTTGTCAGAGACTGGCAAGAAGGGCTGGGCCATGATCATGCACAGATGGTGAAAGAGCTCATGAGAGGGGGAGAAACTAAGGGCTGTATTTGGTTTCCCTGCCTAGCAGAGATTCAAAACAAAAGACTGTTTAGTTCAAAAGGAATTCTTTCCTTGGGGACCAAGTGCTACTCCAAACAATAGGATTAGTTTTTCATTTTTTCAGAAGTAGCAAAGATAGCATGCAGTTTTGATTTAGAAGTAATGGGAAGGTTTGCCTTGACTGTGCTTTATTCCAGCTGAAATCAGTAGGGGTTTAGTGCTATTCACAACTTTTATCTGCTGTGTTGTGAGACCAAATATTTAACCAGCATTGCAGATTTGGAGAGATGACTAAAAATAACACAGTTGGTGAACTTATTTATTTCCAAGGTGTAATTTGCATAATTGCTTTCACTGGCTACACTTCAAAACAAAACCAAACAACAAAAACCTTTTATTTGTTAGGACTGGAAAGCCAGAATAACCCCACAGGAGTTGTATAAAATAAATTTTATTTATATATGTACATATATTCACACATTCTGGAGCAGAACAGTTTTTCAATCAGCAACATTAATTTATCATGTAGTCATACAACTCTGAACTGATTCACCTCCTGTTTATGTCAAAGAAAATCATCAAAATACCTCCTTTTTTAGAATAGCTCCCTATTATCAGTAATTTTTTCTTTTTTCAAAAGAGCCTTGTAAAAAAAGGATCCTTCCAGTAAACTGAAAGGAATTATGTCTTGTTTGGGGTATTAATTCCTGTATTCCATCTGCTGCTCCCTGCATTTGCAGATCTACCTGTGAGTCACAGCTCCAAGATACGCCTGTACCAGTTTTAGGGGAAGTGAGCACAATTCCACATGTGTAATTCCATATCAGTCTAATGTCTTTGATTGCCTATACTGATGAAAATTAACTGGTACACCTGCAGCAATAGAAATATGTTGATTAGATCAGGTTAATTAACTAGCAAAACCCTGCTCATTTAACATTATTCCAGCTCCCTGAATATTCCTTGCTCAAGGTAGGGGGCTGTCATTGCTCAGTACCTCTCACTGCCCTTCATCTCTCAGTTTATGTGAGCACTGTTTAAATAACCACCCAACCATCCCACCCAAATTCTGGTGCTTTCTGGAGCTGTTCAGCTGGGACAGTGTTGCTGATGGCTGCCAGAAGCCAGGAAACTTGGGATATCGTTGGCAGTAAGAGAGCTTTACTGGAGATGAAGCCCAAATCTCTTTGTTTATCTGCAGTACCAGGCAGTTGACTTGAGAAATGGTAATTGATTGTGACCCTGGCTGTGCAATTATTCAGGCATGTAATTGACATCTCAAACACAAGAGCAGTGCTGTAGGAAAAGCACTGAGATTTGCCAAATGTCAGAGCAGGAATTGCTTTATACGGAGTTACTGTGGCTAATTTGGGAACTGCTCTCACATCTCGGCTCCAGTGCGGGATACTTGGGACTGGTTCCCAGCAGAGCTTGAGGAGACCTCCAGCTTCCCAGATTCCTCTCACAGCCATTCATAAGGCCAGTGAAACTGTGGAAGAAGAGAGAAGTTTCAAGGCCAGGAGAAGCTGGAGGAAATCCAATGTCTCTTGTTTGTTCATGTCTCATTATTAAATAGGCTTATTTTTATTAAAGTGCTGAAGAAAGGCCTTCCAAAAATACAGGAGCTAATTTAAAAGAGTTTTGTCTGTGCCAAGAGATCCTGCTTGAATTAAATGTGTTTGAATTAAGTGTGTTTGCTCACCTTGAATGGGAATTCCCAGATGCTTTTGCTGATGTGTGTGTGTGACAAGATGTAATTTTCCAGATATGTTATTCTCAGGAGACTGGAGGGGAAGGGGAAATCACATTTGTGTCTTGAATTAATACAGGGACCAATCCCTTTCTCATTAAAACCATCAGTGAAATTTCCATGGTTTTGGGGATTGGTCCCTGAGCAACTGAATTTTCAAAACCATGATTGCCCTTCTTCTAAATACTGGCAAACGGTGGCTTTTGGATATTTCGTAGTAGCAAGAAATGCAAAACTGAAGACTGCAAATGATGAGGAGTGCAACCTTCCTTAAAAGCCACTCTCTCTCAGATGAACTCTGGTAAGCTCTGGTAGCAATAACCATTGCTTAAGGATGACATGGAGAACATTTCCTTCACGGATGTGATAGGTTGAGCCATGCTATCCACAGAAGAATTTGATGAGGTTTAGAAGCCCATCCCATCCCTAGGTTAGGGGATGCCTCCTGCAGAGAATGTCACTTAGGAAGAACAGTCACCTTTGGAAACGGGCACATCCAGGTTTGTCAATCTGTTTCTTATCTTAAAACAGCAAACTGTAGAGAAGAAACTCTTTACTCTCTTCATAGGGTACATAACAAAAGGAGGCCTTGGATAATGATCAGGAGTCAGAATTGTAGTAGGGATGAATGAATGTTTGATGTTATCTAAGATATGGTTTCTTCACCTCAAAAGAAATTTCCTTGATTTGCAAAGCTGATGAACCTGATGGAATTTCTCTGAAAGCCTTCTCACTTGGCCATACGCAATTATCACAAGTCTGAACTCCATAGGGATAGATATCAGAGTAGCTCTTGAAGAGTAATAGTAAACTTTGACAGTGAACACCACTGAACATTCTTTTTTGGAATGTAGGGTGAAGATTAAACCACAGCAGTTTTAATGTGCCAAGCAGAGCTCTGAGTAGTCCTACAGCATGCAAAGCAAACTCAGAGGAGCAGAACAGTTCCTCTACATCCGAGCTGGCAGGACGGAAGGAATTTTGTCTTTTCAAATGCCTGGGAAATTGAGACCACAGTATATGTGTGAGGGGTTGGAGTTTCACTAATTCTTTTTAACATCTTTTGGAAATAATTCCCCATAATCTGCTGTGGTTTCCTTTGCAAGCCATCTCTTCATTTATGGCTTCAATATTAATCTCCAGGGTCGAGTTTCTGTCTGTTTGTCTTGGTCTGACAAAAAAGTGTTGGAAGTTGCCCCTTGTCACATTTCCTGTATTGCTGATGCAGTGCTGGGTCAGGCAGATTTGTAGCAATCGTTTTAATATTGCAAGCAAAAAACGATCAGACTTTATTGCTGCAGGTTTGAGGAAAATCCTTCCTTCTCCTCTTTAGTTTAGTTGGGGTTCTTTTGGTTGTGGTTTATTTTTTTCTAGTGGAAACTTAAAATGCTTTTTTAGAATTGTGCTTTCATCTGTCTGCCTCTTCCCCTGCTCTGTTTGCTCCCCAAAATTAGCAAGAGTAATGTTCTAGTTTGCAGTGCAGTAGGAAAGAATAACTTGACTTTCTAAAATGTAATAAACAGTGCAAGACCTGGAACAAGTACAAAACCTTCAGACAAGGTGAAAGCCCCCAGAAGAATACCTCTATTCAAAAAGTCTAGGGATGTCTGCAAATACTGCCAGCAGCTTAAGTCTTGTCCTTTTCCTTTCCAAACATGTGTATGAGGTTTGCCTTTAAAAATACATACTGTATCCTTGAACTCTTCCACACTCCCAGTCAAAGAAGGTAGTATTTCCTCTAGACCAGTTGATTCATACACAAAATAAAAGCTGTGAGACATTATTTTGGTCTTGGTTGTTTCCCTCTTGTGATATTGATGGAAAACATTCTCTTTGAAATATTCAAGCTTTGAAACCACCAATCATGTCTAGCTATTGAGGGTTACCTGGCTCGACATCTCTGGAATTCCACAGGGCTCAAATTCAGTTCTACCTGACCTGATCCAGCTCTGTTTAAAATGTCCCTTATCCTCTGGGATAAGGGACATTTGTGCTGTACAGCAAATCTGACTGTGAAGAACTGAAGTGCAGTGTACAGATTTGTGTTTTGGTTTGGAATGGAATTAACTATGATCTTCCCTCCTCTTGATATTTTTGCAAGAAAATATCTGCTTTGCAGACAGGGCAAAAGGGTTTTATTTTGTGTAGGAAGCTCAGCTATGGATTTACCTTTCTATAATGCCTATAGGTTAAATCAGTGAAGATAAAGCCCTTACATCACACAATCTGTTCTATACCTGGGTCTCTAAGTGCACATGGGATGACTTAGAATAATATGCCTAACAGATGAGGGTAATTTGTTCCTTAAATATGAGCTTTTTCATTTTGGGGTCAAATATGATGGAGTGAGAGACTGTCTGTTGTTTAATGTGTCATCTGTTCCACCTGGGTGACACCCATCTGTCACCAGCAGAGGCTAATTTTGTAGCTGTGCTGTTGCCAGCAGCCTGAGAAGGATTCCTTGTGGCATTTATTTATTTCTTTATATGTGCCTTAAAATTGCCACTGATTATTGCCTGGCTTTCTCTTTGTTGTCAGATGAGAACAGCAGTGAAAATTCCACTGAAATTTAACATATTGGGAAGGAGCCATAAGTGGTCTAGGATTTATTCTTGGGTTGTTTTGCTGTGTCACCATCTTTTATTAGCTGGTAATTTCCTGTTCATCAATGACAAAGCAGTCAAACAGCACATCTCTGCAGTGGAGGCTGTGCCTGCATGAGTAGTTTTTTGTATTTAAAGTCTGGGCAAGAGAGAATTCTTCATAGGGGTAAAAAATGTGTGTGGAAGGAAGGGATTAATATTAAGATGATGGTCTCATCATCTGATTTGGCCTCTTAAATCCTTCTGGAAGTGCCAGGTCTAGAAATTCCCCCAGTTAATTTTCTTACAATCCCCTCTGTATTCTGCTTCTAACAAAGTCCTGTGAGAGTGACTGCAACAGATGAGAAAATTAACTGAGATTTGAATCACATTTGAAATTGGCAGGAAAGTGAGGGGCTTAAAGCCAAGCTCCACAACATGCTCAAATACGGAATATTTGGGATCAAGAGCCCAGTGTTTGCTTCTGAGGAGAACTAGGGCTGCTTGTGATTTGCTGCAATCAATCAGGACTTTGCAGTCCCATCAAAGAAATGTCACTGGGAATGAAGTGCATGGAAGGGAGAGCCACCCTGGAGGCTTGCCTGGGGGACAGCAGCAGCTGTGACTGGGACCCCCTTCCCGCTGTTATCTGGAGTGTGGAAAAGCCAGGCTGGAGAATATAATGAATCCATTCTTTGTTGCTGTTGTTTGTTTTGGTTTTTTGGGGGAGTTGATTAGCAGAGGTTGGCTACAGTTGATAGCAGGGATACCTGTGAGAGCTATGTGACCTGCTCAGACATAATTCTGAAGGCATTAATTACATATTGCTGAAATTTCAAACCATAATTGGAGATCAGTGTTACCTTGCAGCCTTTGCAGTAATCAGAAGCACCTCAGTTCCACAAGAAAATTTGGAGACAAGTAAGCACTTGAAGCCTAAAACTGTTCCATTGTCATTATTGCTCTTTGTTTTCATTTTTAAATCTTGCAATTAGTGTTCTTAAAAAAACAATAAATAAAGCAAAAGGCAAATACAGACCATCTGTGAAACAGAAAGAAATTGTTAAAAGCTGCATCCACCAGGATCTCTGGGAAGAGTGCCACAACACAGTTAAGCATTCAGCCAGCATGATATAATTACAAATTAAACATCTCTAAAACAAATTCCACATTGAAAATAAAAATGAGTTCTGCTTGTTTCTTTTTGGTAGGGGATCATATTAAACTCAGTTCTAGAAATTACCACCTATCCTCCTGCAAACTGCAAGGTCTGTAGGGTCTGCATGCCCTCTAAAGTTGGGGTTTTTTGGTGGGGGCATCTCATGGGGCATTGCTCAAATCCATGTTTCAGTCAAGAGACTGAGTTCAGGAGGATTTAGAGCAAGTGTGGAGCTTGCTGTGTTTTTTAGAGCTCTGACATAATGGCAGGTAATGACATTCTGTATTCATGGCATGTAGAAATGTGCCTCTCGTTCCAGGAGATGGCTTACTCAGCTCATATCAACTGGATTTGTTAAAATAAAGGGCCATTTTATATTGAGACATAATAATTTTACACTTAACTAGGACACAGTCTCCAGTATGTTCTCATTTCTTGCTTTTATCTAAGGAACGTTTTTCTGGCTTAAGCCAGACTGGATCTGATGGCTCTTGGGGCATGCTTGAGGTAAAAGTGCTTTCAGCAAAGTCATCTAAGTATTTGTAATGACAATTTATGTTATCACTTACTGCTGTATTTGCAAGAGGAACAAATGGAAACTAGTCCGTGAAAAAGAAAGGCCAAAAAAATCTGTAAATAAATGAAATGGAGGATGACACAATATTTAAAATTATTGCTGAACAATTTTGTCATTTAAACAAGACTTTTTTTCTAGGCATGCCCTGCCTTTCACAGAAAAGTGTTACCCTCAGTTTTAGAGGTTGGATCTGTCTGTTAAATAGATCTGTCCTCTCCATTGAAACCAGAAGTATTCCTAAGAACCGAAGATGACTGTAATGAAACAAAAATCTCCAGAATAAAATTTCTCCCTGAAGATCAGATTAATCCTGAGACTGAATAAACAAATTTGTTTCTTAGGAAATTTGAAAGTAGTAGCAAGAAAATGGTTTGGCCTGTCAGGCACAAAATGCTTCACCAAACATGACACAGTTTTTGGAACCTTCCTAATTTAAACCAAAAGAAAAATCCTCTACCACATATATATAATTCTAAATTAATAATCAGTTATTAAAATGTTTGGAATAGGAAGTACTGAATTTTCTGCTTTGAAGAGGAGCATAAACCAATGGCTTTTAAGGGAAGGCCCATCAGAGTTTCCTTTGGACATTTGAAACCAATGAGGATGTCTTTGGTAACCACGAGTACTGCAATAAATGTAAAATTTCAAACTTTTTTGCTTGCTGATCCAAGGTTTTGTTTTTCCCTTATGACACTGTTGTAGAAATAGAAACCATGCATTTCACTGTGAATTTCTTTACTTAGTTCTGGAACTTCAACCTTAGATTTTTCTTAGATTTGTCCATACCTCTGAAGGGAGATAATTTAATTTCAGAATTCTGTTTGATGCGCTTGTAAGCTTTACTTTGGTCACAAAAGCTCTTGTTTCTAATTGCAATTACCACCAGTGCATTTCTTTAACAGGGAGGGTGTCTGGGGAAATAATTGCCCTTATTTTTACCCAGTCTGTTCATCTCCATACTTCTCAGCTCTTCCCTCATGTCCTAGGTGTGTTGTATCAGGAAGTCTCAGCACTGCTGTCATCTGATCTGTGCTTCCTGGCTTTCCACCATCTGAGAAACCATTCCCTGGACAAACTGCTTTCTGGAACAAGCCTCCTGTGCCTCGTGGGATAAAGATCAGCAGCAGCAGCCCAGATATGCTAAGTCAACTTGAAATGACAGCTGCTGTTAGGAACAAGTAGAACTCATTAAAACCGAGCCCACTGGTGTTTGTATGAAGTGAATACCTGCCTGCTCAGTGGTTATTTAATTGATGTACAGACTGTCAAGCAGACAACAGCACTGACTGGACAGACACTGTAAATCCAGCTGACGTCCCCCATTTTGAATTCTCCAGAGACTGCTGACAAAATTGTTGAGATTCTTTTCCCCTCCAGTGAATAAGAAATGCTGAGTAAAAGGATATTACATAAATTGGCTGACATTTGGAGTGGACTAGCTAATTCTCGTTGCCTCGTGTGTGGTGGCTCTGTGTGTATGTGCACATGTGCCTGGTATCGTCAATGAGCTCCCTGCCCGCTCCCCTCTGCTCCCAGCAGGCTGCTGGGAGGCTGGATTTTGGGAGTTACATAAGAGACAGTCTAGGAAAACATCCCAACCACTTGGAATTTACCCTCGGCACTAACCTCTTTCCTCCATTGTGTCATGCACTTAAAAAAATTATTTTTTGTTTAGTGGCGTGACAGGGATGGTGTCTCATCTGAAAAAATGAGGTCTGTCTGTCGTGGGGAGGGAGTTGGGTGTACCAAAATTGACTTTTGCTCACTTTTGCTTTCCATGGGCTGTGGCTGCAGTCCCTGGAGTCAAAAATCTCTCCTTTCTGTAACAGCTGGGAGTTGAAAATCAACAAGGGCAATCATGCAGCAAAGGGAGATAAAAATGAGCTGTTAGGGCTGTATATTCACCCTACTGGCAGCTGCTTCCTGGGAAGGGGCTAGCAGCAGGTGCTGTGTCTACAAACATTTCTGACAAATAATTTGCCTTGAAAAGTAACAAATGTTACTTTTAAATAATGTTGTGAGATTACACTTCATGGCCAGAGAAGTTGGGGTCATTTCTAGTTTGAATAAATTGATGTGAAAATCATAAAACCCATTCCAGTTAAAGTGCATTTCACCAGGAATATCACTTGTTGCTGTGTGTAACCCTCCTCAGAGCTGTACTCATTCTCAATGCAGCTTCACATTCCTGAGGAATACGAAGAATATGAGGCATATTTGTGAGGAGTTTTATCCAACAAGTTTTGGTTGGCCTGTCTTTTAACATCAGAAGCACACTCCATTTTTCCTATATTCCTTTGGAACAGTTCGGTGTTACTTTTTTACATGTGATTTTTCTCTTGTGGCCTAGAACCTTAATCCTGATTCCACTCAAATTTCATAGTAAAGATCTTAGTAAAATATTTGTGTTCTCTTTTAAAAGTAGTTGGGATCAGACCTCTAGGCCCTGTCTCTGCTTTGTAATGTTCTGCTTTGAATTTCTTAAACATTCTGCTCTTTCAAAGGTTGAAATGAACGAGAGTTCAGCTCCATACAACAGAGCAGGAATTACAGCTGAATTCCTCCCAGTACCACTGCTTTTCATATGCTAAAATCAATAGACTGGATTCAGACAGGAGGTAAGCAAATACAACTCATTTGTACCACGTCTGGATTCTGGCCAGTTCCATCCAGTCTCCTATGATAATTGCATACAGTTTGTTCCAGTCTCTTTATCCCATTGCTTACAATGCTTACGATTTGCCTTTATTGCATGTAACCATGCTGGAAAAAAGACTCGTGTCTGAGAGGTAATGTAATTGTGTTTTCAATTATCCTCTCTGGGAGTAATCCAAACATCAGAATATAAACTAATTTCTTTTTTTGAAGCTGCTGTAAAGAAACTGAAAGAAGAATAAAGGTTATTCAGTGCTGGGCTATTTTGTATTGAGTGGAAGAACAAAGGCACCCCACTTCACTCCTCCTGACAACCAAACCTATTCACCTCTGTTGGCTCCTAACACAGAATATAGCAATACACTAACTGCAGCTTTTTTCCTTGGAATTTGGTGTTGTGTCTTGGGCATGTGGCAGCCAAAAAGCATTTGTTTACCCCCTCATAATTTTCAGGGGCCTCTTTTCCTTCTTCTTTTCAGAAAAATTACTTCCATCTGCTAAACACAGTTGTTTAAAAAAAAAAAGTTGGATAAAGTTAAAAATTATGCTTTTTAGTTTTTTTTGCACAAATCACTTCATCATTTATTTCTGTCACATCTTTACTCCGTTGTCCTTACTGCATGCCCTAGACACAGGCAGTTTCACACATGTGATGCATGGAGCCAGCACTTCTAGTGAGCACTGGCTGGGAACTCAAATGTCTTAAAAACTATGGCTGCCATCATCGCTTCATAGAGTCCAATCGATTTTGAAGGGATTTGGATCAAGGCCCGAACTGACTCCAGAGTGCTGAGATGTCTTATTGGTGCTTAATTTGGAGAGCATGGGAGATGTCTGGGAATCAACCACTGGAAATGGCAGGCAACAAAGGGATACCCTAAACGATTAATTTCTCTAGAAGCTTATGTTTGGGATATTGAAGGTGAGAGTGTAAAGAATGACAGAAAAGGTTTGTCATCAAGCTAACAACTCCAGTGAGCGGAATTTAGAAGTAGTCATCCCCTAAGCTTGAAAACAGTTTCAAACAGAGCTCCCAAATAGTTCCAGTTAACTACTGAAACACTAATTGTATGTCTGGCAATCGAGTGGCACTGGCCAGTCTGCACTAAACGTGGAATCTAGTTGGTTCTGAACTAATTGCTTAATAAAATCATAAGTTTATTAGATTATTAACCTAACTTTTTATTTGTTACAGGCTCTGGAGAAAACATGCATTGGCAGTAACTCATTCCTTTTATTGTACTTGCCACTTCTTCCTGCACTCCTGCCCTGAGCTCCTCAGTTTTGCTATGATATTTATAACTGCCCCATCTATTTGCCTTTTTAGAGCCTGGAATCTTCTAGAAACCAGAGAAGAGCACACAATATAGATGAAGAAAAGCAGAAAAGGGATTGGTTCTAGTGCATACAGAAAAAAAACCCAAACAAACGTAAGAATGGCTTTTTTTTTTTTACTTCCCTAAGTAAATTCTTTGGGCTGTACTCAGGTTGTATTCAGCCTCTTCCCTTTCAGAATTTCTGAAATTTTGGTTTTCTAAAGATCACAGCTCTCTGCTGCTCCATTCTGTTCTCCATTCCACAGCCACAGCTGGGAAAGGTATTTATTCTCATCCATGTCTCTGTGGTGAAACTGGCCACTAGGAAAAAAACCAGCGTTCCATAAAAATAACTGCTCAATAATAAATTTGTGCATGAGGTCATATTCTTAACCTGAAAATAAATAGCTAAATAGTTTTTAAAAAGGTCCAAAAAAGCAGCAAGCAGTTTATAAGGAAGAGAGCCATACTTCAGCAGCTAGTGAACTAATGATGCCTTATGGGCTACTTGGTACCATTGAAAGAAAGAAGCTGGAACTAATAATTGTCCTTGAAAGTTACCTCTACAAATACCCTTAATAAAAATGAAGTAGTTGGCATGGCACTGGTGTCACTTTACGTTGTCTGTGGTGATGGGGTTGTGACAAGAGACCTGTTAGTGAAAATTACAGGAATTGTTCAGCATGAGTTGGTCATTTGATGCAGGACCATAAAGGCTCTTGTACAGTTCTCTTGGGAATGCACAAGAGTTGTAGGTAAAAAGATTTCAATACCTTCATATGATATCCGTGTGCACTAAAAATACCATCTGGAGGTGGCTGCCAAAGAAGTCAGTGAGAGGTGCCATTTGAAGGGTGAGTAAAAAGTAACGTTACTGTAACTTCCAGCCAAGTAGGTGAGGTAGTCTGGGGATATATCCTGTGCACATCCTGTTCTTCCTTCCATACTCTGCATGGGGATTGACATCCCTGCCAACTGTGCAGCCAGCCTTTCCCTTGGCATGGTGTCCCCTCCTCTCCTGCTTTGAGGGACAGCACCTTCAGGTACAGCAGCTACAGGTACGGCAGCTAAAGAGTCATGGTAGCTTCAGGGATGCCAGGGAAGACATTGGGAAATAAAAACCCGAAAGGAATGTTAACCTTAAAATCATTCTCTTCTTGCCTGTCTTCAAATCATTCCAGAGCAAATTTTTTTACATCAGTAAAACCAAGGAAGGATGTTGGCTCTGAGCTGTACAAGCACTACTTCATACAAGCACGGCTTGGCCAGCAGCGCCTGCTCCATGGGCTGCCTTGGCAGCACCCTCCCGGCCGTGTGTGAACACCCAGGGAGCTGCTGCAGGAGCTGAGCCCCGGGAGCCAGGCTCTGGCAGGCTGCAGCTGCCCGGGATCCCAGCCCCGGCACAGCCCCACGCGCGCGGCTGCTGTTTGCTCCCAGATGTGACAGGAGACACGGTGCTCCCTGCGGGCCCACACAGCTGGGCTGAGTGACTAACCCTGGCTCTGCACCCACACGCTGATGTCAGGAGAGCAGCCAGCAGCTCAGTGACTCTCCTTGTCTCTGTGTGCGCGTCAGCCACAACAGCGGCAAACCCAACAATGGGCAAGGAAGCAATCAAAGGAAAACCCAACTTCAGACTAGGAGCAACTGATGTCAAATGGGATGTGTAACTCCCATTTCCAGTGAAAAGAATCATCAATATTAGCTCAGTCATTTTAAAACAAATGAATCATTAGATGACAAAACCCATAAATTGATTCATAAACAGCTGTCATCTTAATATGAAAACTTTGAGATTAATCTGAAAAATTGCGATTCAATTGTGAATGGAAATAACAGCTAAAATCCAGCATTCATCTTGGCCAGGATGAATTTTACAAAATAAACTTCATAGTACACTTCTAAGTTCTATCCATCCTTGCGTGTATAATATGTGTGAGCACACAGATGCACTAAAAATGCTGTCTGGCCACCTGGATTTCAGTTAATTCATTAGTATCATTAATTGCAATGACTTTGACTTGCTGGTCTTTGAGGGGAAGGCTTCTCTCATTGTTTGCTTGCTGAGTTTTTTGTTGTTTTTCCAAGGTACTTGTTGGCTGTGGTGCAATGACTCAAGGCGTGCGATTAGTCAGAATAAGCCCTCAATACTTATGGCAATAACGTTTAGCACATATATTTTTGGTTTTTTCCCTGCCGTGAAGCACTCCTAGACGAGGCATGGGTTTGGGATTGGTTGCACTTGCTGAGGTAATCGATGCCATGATGCCTTCTTTGAAGAAGACTGAAGAGGTTTGTAACTTGAGTTTTATGGTAGGCAGGTGATGGACAGTCTGATGGGACTCAGGGAGACCTGCCACCCTGCCAGGGAGAGAAATGGGGAGCTCGGAACTACTGTGAGATGGGGAAGTCCTAGGGGAAAGGAAAATGAAGGCGCCTATGGAAAAAATAAGCTATAGGGTTATGAGGATTGGCTGAGGAAGGAGAACATGGGCTTTGAATTTCAAGAAAGGAGGCAGAGATTAAGAAACAGTGGGGAAAGGAAACAGAGCTTTGGAGCACATGGCTAGGAGCCATAGTGAGATACAAAGGAAAAGCAGTCCAGAGGACAGAGCTTGGCATAAGGAGCTGGGGAAAGATTTAGAAATAGGCCAGGAACCTGTGCCTGACAGCAGGGGAAGGGAAAAGAACAGGGTGGGGACAAAGGATGAGGAGAGGAGACGAGACAAGTTGGGGGTGGAGGGTGGGGCAGCCAAGAGAAAGGAAGATGAGTCTGTGCCTATTTCAGTGTCCTCCTGGTTCTGGCATTACACAGTGTTTCCCTTCATCTGCTGTCAGAAGACACTGACATCCCCTGATAAGGTGCACACATTGACTCCCACACAGCAGACAACCTGCCACAGGGGACAACCTTTCACTGTTTGGGACACAGAGTCACTGTGGCCTGTGGCAAAGCCAGTGGGCCCAGCTTTATCTCCAGTGTCAGCTGACAGCCCCCACAGGGGATGGCAGGGAATTTGTGAGTGTTAGGTCAACAACATGAACGGCCCACAAAGGTTTCAGAGCAAACATTCAGACTTGTAATGACACCAGTAACTCTTGCCTTTCACTCTCAAGTCCCTGCTGTTTGGAGTTTGCACCTTTAGCATTCTTTTTAAGGTACAGCTGGTTTTCCCCTAGAAAAGTCTTCCCAAATACCATATGAAGTATGCAATGGGTGGAATTCATGGCAGTATGAGTTCAGCAGTTAAACAAGGCAGAGGTCAGTAGCTGGCCACATTAATGTCAGAGTGAACTTCCTCTTTAGCATTTTCTGGGGGTTTTTGGAGCAGGTAATGCAGCTTTTAGAGAGAAAAATCAATCAAGACTGCAGTTGATAAAATTAATGAAGGTGTAACAATGTGGCTTACACAGGCATTCATTCTCTATTTTTTCCTGAGGAGGAAAAGGATATAAATTAAATAGTGATTCTTACGTAATGAGTATTGCTTTTGCATAAAAGGAGGCAAAACACTGAGCAATTTAACCTCCCAGATGCTTGGAAGTTAATGATTGCAGGTCAGCTTTGAGATAATAGCCTGGGCAGTGTTGTGAAAGTCATTTTCTGGCAGATGGGGACAGATTCCATTTTGGCATGTGGACAGTGGATTACAGCCCTTTAACCACCGCGAAGAGCTGTGCTAAGCTCTGGTCCCTCCAAGAAACAAACAAGATTTCACAAGAGCCAGCTGGCTTCAGTTGCACTTACAGTACTTGTAACTTCAGATATCGTGGGAGATGCAGTCATGGTGAACTTAAAGACATATAGGGATGGTTTCCTAGCTGAGAAAGGGGGGGATTGCAGCACGTGTCTGTCCCAAGCTGGTCACTGCATGGATGGATACATTGGGGTGTGGTGGAGCTATAACTGCATCCACCCCGGCACTGAACACTGCCTCAGGCTCATTTGGGAGAGTTCTCCCTCCCTAGAAATAAAAGCTAACGCAGCACAAGGGACCACATCATTTCTTTGCACTTCCAAGGGCATTCCAAGGCTTGTCTTTCCTTTCTCAGATGCTGCTGTGCCGATACCCTGCACAGGGAGCTGTCTGTGCAAGGGCTTCACGTGTTCACTTGTGCCACTGGAACTCTCTGTGTTCTGCATGTGATGCTTGGTCTGTGACCTGCTGCTGCAGGGTGTTATGCTCTGGGGAACCCTTCAGTGGGGCCTAGGTTTGAGGATCCATGGAAACAGTCCTGAAACAAAGAGAAAACAAATGGGAGAGTTGTGACATTCCTTCTGGAATACTATCAGCACAGATTGTTTCCAAGAGAGGGGTTTGGGGTTTTTTCTTTATTCTTTATTTATTGGTTGTTTTCCACCTGCCAGCTAATACATCTTACAGAAATGATGCAGAGCAAGATTTTGGTTGTCGAGTGGTAGAAATTAAATTAATGATGTAGTAAAATAATTTTTTTTCTTTGTAATGTCCGGCTGATCTCATCTCTACTTGCCCTTCAGTGTGACATGATGAAAGCTGCATGATGTGGTAACTGTTGTTCCTTGGGAATAGTCTGTCTTTGCTGTATTCCTCCATGAGGTTACTTTGGATTTTTACTATAATATACAAGGGAATGGAAAGAGTATTTTCCTCAGTTCCACCTATATTTCTATTTCCAGCTGCAGTCCTCTGAATAATGTAACATTCTCCAGAATTAACCCATGTGGAAGTTATGCCTTCTATGACCTGTATAAGATTCTAATTTAAAAGAGGATAAAGACAAATCTATAACAAAACTTCCACTATTTCATGATCACTTGCTAGGAGAGACAGTGAAAGAGACATTTTTGACTTGCTAGGGGTTTGTAGTTGATGCGGAAATATTTAGAGATAAAATTATTGCAGGCAGACTTGTTGCAAGCAGCCCTCCCTGCTTGAGCAGGGGGTGGACCAGATGTGCAGAGGTGCTTTCCAACCTTAACTATTCTGTGTTGATGTGAAGATCCACTTCCTAATGATTTGTGTGTGCTCTGATCAAAGGGGATAATGGGTTTCTGAAATGACAACAACCACACAGGCA